TAATTCAATTCTTCTACATGTTCCAATATAACTAGAACCATTTGTTGGAAATGATGTGTTTTTTGTTTTGTTTTGTTTTTGCCAATGTGTATTTTTACCAATGTTTCTTTGCCAAAATTCAGGTGGCTGTAGGAATGTGGGCTTATATGTGGGTCCTCAGTCTAATCCATTGATCAATGGGTCTATTTTTGTGCCAGTACCATGTTGTTTTTATGACTATGGCTCTGTAATAAAAAGAACTTATCCTATTGCAGAGACACACGTACATCCATGTTTGTTGCTGCTCTTTTCACAATAGCTAAGAGATGGAAGCAACCTAATTGTCCCTCAGTTGATGAGTTGATAATGAAAATGTTGTTCATTTATATGGTGGAGTTTCACTCAGCAGTGAAGAAATACGAAATCATGAAATTTGAAGGCAAACTGATGGAACTAGAACTGTTATACTAAGTGAAGTAACACAGACTCAGAAAAAGAAAATCAACATATGTTCTCCCTCATATGTGGATCCTAGAACCAAATCCTAATAAATGAGTATGTACCCAGACATGACTATAACCAGGAGGATGGAAAGGAACCAGGGAGCTAAAGGAAAAGAAAGAACCTGCAAGAGAAGAACAGTAGGGAACAGACATTAATAAGGGAGATATGGATAAAAATTGGGTTAGTTTAAGGGAGGGTGGAGAGAAGGGTATACAAGGAACCTAGGGGATAAAGGGAAAGTAGGAGCTCAGGAGAGGTAGGACCATAGGAGAAGGGTCTTATTAAGGGAGAAAGGAGGGAAATGGGGGCACCTTAAGTGGGAAAACCATGATGGAGGGGTGAGACAATGTGAGAGATAAACAATGCCTAGCTAGTTTTGAAAACCAGAGGGAGCCATATTACTCCTGCAACCTACTAACAAATTATACATAGCAGATCAAGAAATATATGTCTAGGTAAGGTTTATCTGAGAACAACTGATCTTTGCCCAAGATTTATCTACATGACACACAGTAATTAAAAATACCAGACTGGTGGAACTAACTTTCTTGGGTGTTTAACAGACATACTTTGAGGTCTGTAATAATTTGGTCAGTGGGACATAAAGGACACTTTTTGCTCCTTGCCCTCCTAGGTCGATTAGTTCCAGGGGACTATGACCATCTCTCAAAATGCCCTATAATGGTGGTGAGTCACTTGTCCTCTTGATCAAGGAGGATGAGGAGACCCCACAGATGGACTTGAACCAGTGTCCAGTCTATAAAAAGGATGGTCAACATAGAGGAATCATTTCTTCCATGCTTCCAAGTGAAGCCAACCATGGTCAAGCAGGACCTTTGACTTATCTTCACATACATGAAACTGCTAAAAGAAAGGAGCCAGGGGCTCCTCCCAAGCCCATGTGACACCTGAAGTACACATCCTCAAAGGACCTTAAGAGTAAAAATAAATGGGTTTTATCTGGACCAACTGTATGGTCTTAAACCCCCAAAAGGAAAGTATAACCAAAGATTAAATGGTCCAACATAATTTCATAAGTGTCCATATGTATAGCTAAAGCTACATAACAAGCAACAATGCTAGACAAGCGATACCTTCTTTTGAGTTGATGGCCAAGGTAGCCCAAGGGATTCCCAGATAGTATCCCAGCATAGAACTGGGAAAATGTACAGACAACCACAGCCTTATCCAGAGGAATATAGACAACTGATTACCGCTAGATGAAGAACAGTTGACCCTCCTCCTGATAGGCTGACTAGATTCACCAGAAGGGCAAGTAGTGGCAGTTGGCTGGCGGTGCTGACAACACAGCAGACAGTAGCAGGGATATCAGAGTATAAGGGCTCTAGTGGGGGGAGGGAGGCTATGGGAGGGTGCTACCTGGGAAGTGGGCATATAAATAAATAAAAAAGAAAAAAAATTATTGAAAGCATAAAAATTTGCTCCTTAATCATTAGTAGATGTGAAAAACATTACCATTGAAATCTACCTGATGACTTTATATCCATGCTCAGATGCCAAGGAGCTCAGAAAATAACTGACTGTGACTAGTAATAATCAGATATATAGAGATTAGAAACACATGTGCATCGTAGTGTCAATTTTGTGAAAAATGAATTTTTTGTATGAAACTGTATTTTAATAATGAAATGGAGATCTTTTTTAAAGTTTAAAACCTCATTTAATTTTATATCTTATAGGGGTTATATGGAGTACAATATTGTATAACCGTATCAATTCAACTCTAAACCTAAAAATTTACAGCCAATTTTGAATGAGATGCATTTTAGCTCTGGAAATTGTTATTGAATATGTCAATGCTGTTGTAATGAAATGCTTCTTCTAATTATATGGTCATTAAATAATTAAAAATAATTTTTTGAAAAGTTTTTTAAAAGAAAAAAATAACTTGCTAAAGAAAAGGAAATGATGAGGCAGAGTAGATTTAGGATATGAAGAGTTATTTCATGGAAAAAGCTGGGGTGATTCATAAACGTAAGAAAACATGCTTGAATGTAGAGAACAGGACGAAGATTAAGATGAGTGACTGTTGCAGACTCTTGGCTTTAGCAGAAGTTATGAGTCTAACTGTAAGGATGGCTGGCCAAGATACAAACCAGCAGGAGTGCATTCAGGTAAGCACACTGTTACTTCAGAGCCATTTCATGATCTCCAGTGAAGCTGGAGCTACACACCCCAGCCACAACATTTCCATTAAGGTGTATTTACACACATGTATTTATACACATGTACAGAGAAAAGTGTAAGAATTGTTTGTCACAGTACTGATCATAACAGAACGTGGCAAGTGATGCCAGGTCAGTAAGCAGGAGGTGGGTGAGTAAGCTCTGTTACCTGTCTTCATGGCAGAATGCTGTGAAGCAGTTCACCATGAGTGAATTAGATTGAAAAGGAGCGCCATGGGGCTGGAGAGAGGGCACTGCAGTTAAGAGCACTGGCTGCTCTTGCAGAGGATCTGGGTTTGATTCCCAGCACCCACATGGTGGCTAACAACTGTCTAACTCCAGTTCCTAGGGATCCGACACCCTCTTCTGACCTCTGCTGGCACTGCGTGATTTAGGCATACATGCAGGCAGTACTCTCATACACATAAATAAAATAAAATTAAAACAATAAAATATTTTTTTTTAAGGAGAAACGTGACAGATGCTGTAAAGAAAGGTTGGAGTTAAGTCGGTGTGGTGCAGCAGTTAGGAGACTGGAGCAGAAAGAGCATAGAGATGTTTTTTAAGACAGGATCTCTCCCTGGGACCTGCAGTGGCTGAGCAGGCTAAGCTGACTGGCCAGAGAGCTCCAGGGATTGACGTGTCTCTGCCTGCCCAGTACTGGGATTATAGATGCATCATGCTGGCTTTTCATGTGGGTTCTGGGATCAAACTCAGGTCCTCATGCTTGTGTATCAAGTGCTTTACCATCCATCTCCCCAGCTCTGAGAACTCTATTGGCATAGAAAAGAACTCATGTGCTAATCAGATGGTGAAGTTCTATCTTGGTATTATTTTTAGTCTGCATTAATGAGTGTGCATCTTCTCAAAGAACTACTTGGCTAAACTTTAAGGAAAGTGTGATTCCCAGATGATGGATTTCAGCACATTTTTTTTTTTCATTTCTGTCAAGCACCAGCAGCCTTAAGATCATGATCGCTGATCTTAAGGCTGCTGTGCTGGTGCTTGATGGCCAGGCCATAGTCATTGATTTTCAGCTGTGACAGTGGTTTGAAGCAGATTGATTTTGCCTCTTGAGATTTGCAAGAGGTAATTTTGAAGTTCTCTGCCTCATTATTTTTCATCTATCTAGTAATTTTGTCTTTATGATATATATTAGAGGAAGTTTTACTGTTTCACTTAATAGTGATAAAGATGGCTTGTGTTTGTGTATGTGTGTTTGTGTGTGTGCAGGTATGTGTATACATATGTGTTGAGGCCAGAGGCCAATCTTGACTATCACTCTTTAGCTGCTGTCTATCCTCTATCCTTTTTTTTTCTGAGACGAGGTCTCTCACTGGCTCAGAACTCTCTAAGTAGGATAGGTTGGCTGGCCCCAAGGTTCCCTTTCCTCAACTCCTCAGTGCTGCGATTACAAGTGAGTGCTGCCACACCCCATCTCTTTGAAATGTGGGTTCTGGGGATCACACTCAAGTCCTCATGCTTGGAAAGCTAGCTAACTAGCCCTTTATGGATTGAGCCCTCTCTCCAGGCCAAGATTCCTTTATTTTTTTTTGTTGTGATGGCAGTTTCATATATTTTGGTCAAATTCCTAATGCTTTGAATATTTCATCCTTTCATCTTTGGAAGTGTCAGTTTTTCCCAGATAGTAACCCAACATAGAACTACCCAGCACAGAACTGGGAAAATGAACAGCAGACCCCAATCTCATCTAAAGGACTATTGACAAGTGATTGCTGCTAAATGAGGAACAGCTGACCTTCCTAAAACAAAGACCTCTAGATAAGCTGACTAGATTCACCAGAAGGGCAAGTAGTGGGGAATGGCTGAGGGAGCCAACAACATAGCCAACACAGCAGACAGTAGCAGGGATATCAGAGTATAAGGGCTCTAGTCGGGGGAGGGAGGCTAGGGGAAGGTGCCATCTGGTAAGTGGGTGTATAGTTGAATAAGATGGTTTGGGATGTTGTGTGAGATATACACATACACAAAATCAACAATTTTTTTTAAATGTATTATATTTGAGGAGGAAGCATGGAAATTTATGTCATGTTAATTGGTAGAGGTGATAAACATTACCATTAAAATCTACCCAATGACTTTATAGACATACACAGGCGCCAAGGATCCAAGCACAACCGATTATGACTAGTAATAATCAGATCCATATAGATTAGAGATGCATTAGCCAACATCTCAGTGTTAGTAGCAAAAACAATGAGTCTTTCTGCAAGGAACAAAACATTCTAAAATGAAATGGAGATCTTTTTTTAAAGGTTAAGAACTCATTCAATTTTATGTCTTACAGGGCTTATACTGAGTTCACTATTGTATAACTGTATTAATTCAACTGTGAACCTAGAAACTTACAGCCACTTGTGAAAGAGATGTACTCTTGCTCTGGAGTGTGTTACTGAATATGTTAAAGCTGTAATGAAATGCTTCTTCTAATTATGTAGTTATTTAAAAAATTTTAAATTACTTCATATTAAATAGCCCAGGTGATTAAACATTACCAGTGAAATATACCTGACGACTTTATATCCATACTCAGGTACTAAGGATACGAGTATAACCGACTGTGACCAGTAATAATCAGATATGTCTGATTGAGTTTGCATGGGTCTTGTGCACACTGTCACCATTGCTATAAGTTCATATGAGCACGTTCCTAGAAGGCTGGAAGACTGTTTTCTTGTGGAACTCTAGATAGGCTGACTAGATTCAGTGGATGGACTGGGGAATGGCTCTGGGCACCAACAACACAGTGGACAATAACAGGAATGACAGAGTATATGGGCTCCAGTGGTGGGGGAGAGGCTATGGGAGGATGCCATTTGGGATATGGGTTTATAGATGAATAAGATTGTTTGGGATTTTCTGTATGAAATACACACAAAAAATCAACAAATAAAACATGAGTTATGTTTGAAGAAGAAGCATAAAAATTTGCTTCATATTAATTAGTAAAGGTCAAAAACATTACCATTGAAGTCTGCCTGATGACTTTATATCCATGCTCAGGTGCCAAAGATCTGAGTGCAACTGATTATGACTAGTAATAATCAGATACATACAGATTAGAGATGTATGCACCAACACCTCAGTGTTAGTAAAAACAGTGAGTCTTTCTGCAAGGAACAATATATTCTAAAATGAAATGGAGATCTTTTTTAAAGGTTAAACACTCATTCAATTTTATGTCTTACAGGGCTTATACTGAGTTCAATATTGTATAACTGTATTAATTCAACTGTGAACTTAGAAACTTGCACCCACTTGTGAAAGAGATGTACTCTTGCTCTGGAGTGTGTTACTGAATATGTTAAAGCTGTAGTGAAGTGAAATGCTGCTTCTAATCATGTAGTTATTTCAAAAAACTTTTTAAATAATGATTAAAAAACCCAGAATGACTTCCCAGCTAGAATAAAACGCAGGTGCTTTTCTTGTTTTATGAAGTCCCACATGATCTGGCCCTAGCCTTTCACCCTGGCTCCATGTGGTTACTACTCAGACAACTGTCCACTTGGTCTCACCCACTCTCAATTTCCCCTACACTCTTGGGGCTGTTATCCCAACAGGTTCATCGTTTTAAAATTTCTCTATACTTTCCCACTATCTTCTTATCATAAAATATTCTGTGTATCCTTGCTCTGGAATGTGTTACTGAATATGTTAAAGCTGTAATGAAATGCTTCTTCTAATCATGTGGTTATTAAATTTTTTAAAATTTTTTAAAAATAAAATAAACTTTGAAAAAAATGGATTCCTAATACCTGTGGCATTATATACCAGTCCTGGGTTGCTTATATCCATCTTCTGTCTAGTTTAAACAGAGAGCTGAAGATTTCTGTCACTTGCAGTACAATCTAACAAAAGTGGGTAGAACCTGCATTAACAGATTCTGCCCACTTTGGGGACTGAACACGACACAAATCAATCTTGCACTGTAAGAGAAATATGAGTTGGGTGGAGTGGGAGATATTCTATAAGGCGCTTATTACACACACACACATATACACACACACAGACACACACAACTGGGCCCCTAAGACCCTAGTGAAATCATCTGATTCCTGGGGCAAGCCAGACCTCAGTACCTCCATGTGCCTGGGCATTCCAGTTAACTTAATCAGTAAACCCCTTACTGGCATAAACCAAGTTAGGATGCCATTTTACTACTGACTATTGAAAGGCTTCTGATTTTCTTTTCTTTTTTTTGAAATATTTTATTTACTATTTTTATTTTATGTGTATGGGTGTATTGCGTGTGTGTACGTGTGCCCATGTCATGCAATGCCTGCAGAAGAGGGTATCATAAAAAAAATTGTAAACTTTAAAGCTAGCTTACAGGAATGAGCATTGTGCGGTCACTGCCAAGGACCCCTCAGTACTGGTGGTTAATGTCGGATGCAGAGGCACTGGGCTGTGTCATACAGAATTCAAACACTCGGCTCTTTTTTGCTGCTTGTAACATTTAGGTGTGTTGCACTGCCTGACAAGATGAATTTACATCAAAGCTGAATGCATAGTCGCTTGCCAGCTGCAGTGACCCTGGGACATTTTTGGTTCTGTAAAGGTAGTTTTGATTATTCATCCTTGGCTCCGAGTTTGTGCCTGCAGCCTGTAAATCATC